ATCTATCTCCACAGCACCATTATTGATGTGTAGAAACTGAAAAAATTACAAGGTTGAAAATTAAGATGGGTAAAATGATGGAAATGCCCTTACTAGAACCATGTGTGTTGGGCACAAGCCATTTATAACAAAGATTGTTAATGGTGTTAGTTGGTTTCAAGGATATGATTGATGTGAAATTGTAAGTCTAAAACTAAGAGTGAAAAAAAAAAAAGGTTGGTGGATAAAACATGCAAATTGACTGTAAGTTCAGGGACTAAATTTGTAATTTACCTCGTCCAAAAGCCCTTCATATGTCAATTGAGTACACATAGGAGTCACCATATCCAACTGAAACACAACAATAATCATGCAAGTTTGAAAAAAAAAAAAATTATAATATATAGGATTATGGAATTAAACATTATGAACAAGAACACTGAACACCTAATTAATCAAAATATAAAATAAAACTATCACAAAAACAATGACAAGAAAAATAAAGTGATGAAAATTAGGAGTATGGAATATGAATATGCATTGAAAAATTTAATAGGAAAAATCCTTGATGAGGAAAATACTTTTCATAGATCAGATGCACTTTTTCATCTATCAAGAAGTTAATAAACTTTTTCTGTAGCAAAATAAATCAGATTATTCATTTTAAGAATTGCATTGCATTTTAAGAAAAGAAAAGTAATTTAGTACAGAAAAACTACCTCTCTGTCCAGAATGATAATGGTATTTATCTCAGGGACACCTGTCTGCAGTTTTAGAAGAAAAATGAGAATAGTTGCTATTTGACAAAGGGAAAATTACAGAAAAACCATTATAATGGTTTTTTCTGTAATTTTCCCTTCTAAAAGTAGAAAGTATTTCTCTCATGTATCACTTACATCAGTTGAGCTAACAGGCTCTTCAGCTTGCAGACGATTAAGCATGTCAGCAACACGTACAGATGCTTTCCCTTTTGCCCTAACATTTGGTATCAAACCAAAAGAGAACTACAAAAAAAACATAAATCTCAAAAAATTGTATGATATAAATATATAAAGTTGATAATACTTCAAGTAAAAATTCAACTAAACCTCAAGCTTGTGGATGGCTTTGGCAATATGCCAAAGAGAGGTTGTATCACCATCTGTTACACATTCCTGTTAACAGAAAAAACATCCACACAAAGTAAATACTAAACACTCTTAATTGAAGGAATTACAATTGCCTAAAATCCTAATGAATGTAATGATTAATGAGTAATGATACATACTTTATAAGATGAATCGAGTTCAAATGATAATATATCCTCATCAATTGGAACAGCATACAATGGGAACTCCCCAATAGTTAATAGATTATGAACTTTTTCATCCTCAAGAAGCTGCAAAGTGAGTAATTGGCTTATAAATATCTATATACATAATCAATCAAGAATTTTGTTAGGTATTAGAATAGCTTACTTTCTCACATGCAACACCCCTACGAGGAACAAAATAGAGAAAATACTCTCTTTGAAGCCCTTTTGAGTTGTCATTGTGGATATGTGAAGAAATAAATTTCATCAAATGAAGCTGAGTTTGTACAAGGTAAACCACTTTTGTACAGGTAGTCTCGAGTGGATCTTCATTAAGATAAAGCAGTTCAGCCCCATGTTCCTGTTTATGTAGCATCGACAGTTAGCAGATAGATAACCTATTAACCCTAATTATAAGACGCATGAAATGAGAGAAATTAGAGTTGACTTGCCTTGAGGACCGAAGTCTGGACGATCAATGACAGGGAACCTCCTAGTTTCTGATCGATGACCAAACACTTTTTCCCTCGAATCTATGAGTATGTCATCGAAAGCAAAATTAAACTAATTGTGCTTCAATTTTATCGGTTACTCATTCATTATAATGATTTAATAAATGGTACGAATTACACTAAATTCGTATGATAATGACCGAACTGAGTAGAATTCAGAGTATGCGAGTGAAGCTTACATTTTTTAGGATTGTTATGAGCTCTTTCTGAGATTGATCTCTGTAATTCGAAAGAAATCAAATTACAAACTGATGTAAAGGTGAACACACACATTTACACCTAAAGTGAAGCGCATAACTTAACCCATTCGTAGGAAGCTTACCTTATAGGAGTCAAATTGATAGGTCCGTTCTGTAAATTGGGAATTTGAGCCATTGATATCCCCTTTTACGATCTGTGTCCCTCCGGTGTGATCAGAGCAAAAAGTAATTAGGCGACGAGCAGACGAAGATGAAGAACAGATTAAAGGCTTTAGAATGGGCTTGTTATATTCTGGGCTTTGGAAGCCCGATAAGTTACAAATGTAGCACATCCATGTTATGTGATGTGAAGGTGGATCGTAGGAGCATCTTTTTTTAAATAATAATGTAATTTATACATTTAAATTTAAATAAAAAAAGTGGGACCTCCTTTATAATTTTTCAAGTACCTGCATTATCTATTTTAGCAAAAAAAAAAATATATTGAAATGTATGCAGATATTACAATCCGCTTAATGCTTCAATCCATTTAAAATGTAATAGTCAAATTCATCAAAATAAAATAAAATAAATACCGAAGAAAGGAATGACATTGAAGGCCTGATCAGTGTGCGACTGTTCACAAATCATGATTGACATCTCCATTAGGCTACGCATCACTCAGGTTTAGGGACGAGCAAAATGATCGAACCGATCCGAACCGGACCCGATCCGGGAACCGGCTTCGGCCAAAATCAAGAACCGAACCGGACCGGCGGTTCTACCGGTTACTACCGATTCTTGTTGTGTCTTCAAATGTTGGAAACGATCCTTGAAAAATAGTATCATACGGTTCCGGTTTTTGTCGGTTCTACCGGTTCCGGTTATATCGGTTCCGGTTTCTACCGGCTCCCAGTTCCAAAAATCCAGAAAAATAACGTCTCAGTCCCGGCCCGACAGGTTCCATCGGGTTCCGGCCGGTTCCCCGGTCCATACGCTCATCCCTACTCAGGTTAGTTACTCTTCAATTAATCATTATTCGATTTTAGAATTTCTTAAGTTGGAGACTTAGAGTTTGTCTAATTGTGTTTAATTTTCAATTTCAGAATTTATTTAGAAGTTAGAACATTAATTTTGATAGCATTGAGAACATTGTTTTTGTCTAGTAGTCTTGATTTATCTATTTTAATAATTTAATTTCATACAAAAATTGGAAGTATGTTTGATTTCATGATTTTTCTTTTGTATAATTGTTTTGGTCAAAAACTAATAAGCTAATTTCATAACCAAGTTAGTAAGTGTGGTGTGATGTTTAAATGTGTAAAACTAAAATGTTTAAGATTTTGAAATATGTTGAAAATCTTGGTCGTACCCAAGATCCTCGGAAGAAGATAATAATATTTAGAATTGATTCGTTTTAAAGTGCAACAAGTGTATTTGAAGTATTTTGGACAAAAATAATGTTAAAATGGTAAAATTAATGAATTTAGATAGTTAGATGGTGTTTGGCATTACTTTTAGAATGACTTTTTAATTTTTTTTCTTTTTTTCAAAAAATTAAAAAAATCAAAAGATGTTTGGATAATTGAAAATTTCTTTTGAAATGATTTTTTGCAAAGAGTAAAAGAAGTGGTTTCAAAAAATCATAAAAACCTGACTTTTTGTGATTTTTTGTGATTTTACATATAAAAGTTAATCAAAAATCATTTTGCTTAATCCAAACACTTTTTAAATAGTATCTTTTGCAAAAAGTCATTCCATTAAAAGTCCTTCTACAAAAAGAACTTTTGATTTTCAAAAGCAATCACAAACACCTCCTTAATCTTAAGATATTCAAAAAATATATACCAAGATATTATAGAATATATTGGTTGTTTTGACAATAAAATTAGATATATAATCAAGTATATATGAATTGTAATCGGTTAAATAATAATAAATGAGTAAAAGCATATGCAAGAACACACTGATGTATGAAGAAAACCCTTAATCATTTTAGATCTCTGGCATAAAACATCAGGGTGTGATGAAATTATATTGTCATATTTATAAACATTTTAGGCATAATTTCAATACATTTTAAGCTATATTTTAGTAATTGCAAAGGTATTTGGTACTTATTAAGTTTAAATTTATTATGCAGCAAAAAAAAAACATTCTTGAAGAAAAATGACTGAAACCGAAAAAAATTGGATACTTTAAGGATTAGAGTTTAAGCTAGGAGTTTAAAGGAGCACAATTCGAGTTATACACATTTCCCACAATATGGTGTTTTGAAGTCCACGGTATGGTTACAAGAAGAATCTTAACACCTTGCATAAAAAATAAAGCTCACGACGTGACATTTATCTTTTTCACATTGTGACCACGTATCCTAGAAGATTCATATATGGAAAGGTACAAGTTTCCTTGGCGAATACGGGATAGACACTGATGTCGTGACACCCTGATGGTCACGACGTGAAGAGCGATTATAAGGAAACTATATATATACAAGTTTCCTTGGCGAATACGGGATAGACACTAAGTTCATGTTGTGACACCCTGATGGTCACGACGTGAAGTGCGATTATAAGGAAACTATATATATATATATATATATATATATATATATATATATATATATATATATATATATACTATAATATTGCCCATTTCTTGAAAATTAAGAGGTATACATTTTATAACACCATGTACAATTTATTAAGCTTACAATGTATACGCATACACGCATGTATCATTGTAACGTATGGTCGTAGCTTCTCGTGGAAAACCCTAATACCCTCTAGACACTATTAGCCATCATTTCTTCCAAAAGCTTCTTCCAAATCTATTACGTCTACCTCCTCACTTTCTTCAATCTCTGATAGGCTTCCATTATTACCACCCTCCTATATCCGTCGCTATCACCACCCTGACGACATTGTCGTTACCTTCAGTCATCGTCTGCCCCACTTCTACCTAGAAACTGTAACTCTATCTCGTTGCCACCATCAGACACTATTAGCTGCAAGCCCTAACCCTAGAGTGTCCCCTCCATCACTAATTTTATGGCTTTCGCCGTGTTCATCTTCGCCTTACTTCTCAAAGTCTCCACCGCCCTTTCCAGTCAGAACACAACCCATCTATTCTCTGTTGTCCTCATTTTTGGCGACTCCACTGCAGATTCCGGCAACAACAATTACATAAATACCCCATTGAAAACCGACCATCCCCCATACGGGGAAGACTTTCCTGGAAAAATCCCCACCGGATGATTTTCAAACGAAAAACTGGTGTCGGACTTTTGGGCGTCTCTACTACGAATAAAGCAAACCGTTCCTCCGTTCCTGCAGCTTAATAACTCCAATTTTGATATCCGCACCGGAGTGAACTTCGCTTCCGCCAGATCCGACTACGATGACATGATGTCTCAGATTTCACAGGTGATTCCTGTGACGAAGCAGTTGTATTACTTTAAGGAGTATATAAAGAGATTGAAGAAAGTTGTGGGGATCAAAGTTGAGGGGGCGTTGGTGTCAATTAGTGCTGGAACAAATGATTTCCCAATTAGCTACTACGATCTTCCTTCTAGAAGAGACGATTTCTCCATGGAAGATTACCAGGATTATATATTGAAGAAGCTTCAGAATTTCATCAATGTAACTCTCTCTCTCTCTCACTCTCTCTCTCTCCCTCTCTCTCTATGTCTTTATTTAAACAGTTTGTTTGATTTTGTGCTGGTGGTTGATAGGAGTTGTACAAGCTCGGATGTCGAACAATGGTGGTTTCAGGGCTACCTCCGATGGGGTGTTTACCGATTCAAATGTTATCCAGATTCTCGGGAACATGTTTGATGCATCAGAACACCGATGCTCGAGTCTACAATCAGAAGCTCATGAATTTGTTGCCGCATATTCAATCCTCTTTAAAAGGAAGCCAGATTATGTACACAAATATCTACACTACGACGATGAAGATGATCCGAAATCCACGAAAACATGGTAAATTTGTGGCATTAATTTTAATTCCCATTAATTTTAATTCATGTGTTTATTGCATTCTTGTTCATTTGCTAATTTTATATACACACCACACCACACCACATACCTCCTACTTTTGTTTTTTGAGTGGCTTACAGGTCGATTTGGTGTGTGAATTTAAGTGGTTTAGTTATACCTGTTGATTACAGATCCATACTTGAACAGATGCTGGTATAATGTCTCCCTTTGAACACACGGAGGTTTTTGTTCTTGACGTTGGTGGAGAGGTGCTACTTGCTCTCACTAGCTTTAAACATATTGATTATGATGATGATACTAATCTTTTTCCATATGATATTTTGATAGGTCGACCTAGATTTGGGAAACTATGAACGCTTCTTAGACGTGAGGAGGCTTACTAGAGATAACAACATAACCACTGGAAAGATCTATCAGGTACCATTACCATTTACCAAAATTTGTGTTGTATTATTTCTACACTCTGTAGTAGTGATTAGTGCCATATTCTTTCAGTAATTTGTTCTCATTTTGCCAGTCTGTTCTTCCACTAGGATAGAAAAATAAACTTACCTTCAGTTGGGCATTGAATTTAGATACACACAACTTCCTAAATTCTTAAAATTTAAAAATAATTACACTAAGTCAGTTAAGTAAACAACAAACAACACCTTAACACATTAAGGACATTCTTGAATTTTGAAAAAAAATAAATCTTTCACTTTAATATGTTATGTTCCATTGTTCAAATCATATATACTAAGCAATTTGAAGTTGTTATATATCCATCCCAGTGTTCCTAGTTTTCTTTTTGGGTTGGTTTTATTTGTTTACAATTAAGGGGTCAGATTCAGATGCGGAATTGGATTCCGATTCCGATTCCGATGATCATGATCCTTAGACATAATCTACAACTATAGATGCAGCAAATAAGAGAATACAACAAGAGGGGCAAGATGAACTACAACTTAACATCAAAGAACAACCTGATGAGTTTCGATTGCCAACACAAGAGGTTTACTTCTTTTTCTTATCATTTGTGGTTAAATGACATGTTATGTTGCATTTACTTTTTAAGGTAATGCTAATCTACTAATCTTGATATATTTTGTATGATAAATTCTATGTATTTTTCACCAAATTCCAATTGTTTCTATAATGTTACATTTTGTTCAGATGTTTCCACCCGTTGAACGTTGAACTTATGGAACTAATTAAAGCTTTTGAAAAGCCTAGGCCTATCACCCTACTGAACGAACACTAACTGATACACAAAGAGGTGAATTTGAAGACATGCTTCGTGCCCTAACATTAGAAAGAATTCAATAAAAAGAAGCAATGGGTTTTGCATTATATAATGTTGACGCTGCTGGAGAGGTAAATAAGGGTAAAATCAGATAGTCACTTAACCAGTTTCTTAGAGCTAGGGGTAAATTGGTAATTTTACATTGATGTTAGTAATTATTTTCATAGTTTATCGGCCTAAATTGAATGTTTTTTCCAAGAAAATTTGCACAAACTTTCCATTAATAAGTGATGTATGGATAAAATGATATATACCTGGGGAAGTTTGCATGAACATTTTGCCAAGTGTTATTGAATAAGAAATACCTTTACCTTTTTGTATGACATTAACACATTTTATATTTTCAGAAAATGTTTGCAGTGAAGGCTCAAGAAGCGTTAAAAAAACTTATCATAGTTTAGAAGTTGGTTGAAGTCCATGTAAGGTGCAGACTTGTGCTGCTTTAATAGGTGGTGCAGAATAGTTTTTCCCATAATTATGAAGGTTTTGCTAATTTATGAACAATAATAATAATAATTTTTTTTACATATTTCTCTTTTGTCTCTTAATTTTGTTTTATTTTGGTTATTAAAAAAATATTTTTATTAAGGCTAAATGCAAGAAATGGCAAATTACTTTCAATGATTTCTTAATTATAGCATCTACAATAGATTTACGATGTAAAAAATATTATTTTCATATTTCCCACTTAGTTCTTTTTTTTTTTCCAGAAAATGGTTTGTGTATTAGAAGTTAGCAATGTACTTTTTAATCATTTTGAGAAATAGCAACATATTTTTATAGATAATTCAAAGTAGGATGCCCTAATGTGACCATTGCAAAGGTACAATGCTATGTTTATTTTCAAAAAGTTATTAAAAAGGAAAGTGTGTAAAATTTTCCGAGGACAGAAAATCACGTAAATTTATTCATGGACTAAAAAACACAAGACAATGTGATTCAGTAATAATCAATAAATTATATTGCTATTTAGGGGTAAATAGATCTAAATACAATGCTATTGAGAGTAAAACCAAAAAAATATATGTTAACAAAAATCATCCATGTTCAATTTTATGAAAGAAAGATGTTATGGTTTGAACCTGGCCCGAAACAAATCTTTTGGTAAAACTATGAGTTATCTTAATTAAATGTGTTTCTTAACTAATTCAACAAATCTTAATAATAACAATTCAAATTACCAAGTTAATAAACAAATTTTAAATATTTTTGAAATATTCATCAAATCTAAAATACAAACTTAATCAAACTAAAATAATATGTATAAGAAAATTTTGATTAACATCCATGACAAAAAAAAACACCAACTATAATCGAACCAAAAAATTGAACGAACTTTCTTTAACCAAACTGAAAAAGTCCAAAAAACCAATTCAATTAGCTTGAAAATCATTACGTTTTTTTTTAATCCGAAATGTGATTTTTTTATAAAATGGGAGACCGTAAGGTCGGGCACACTAACTCCTAATAAACCCTTTAAAGTACCTTGTAAACCCAAATTCACAATTTTTAAACACTAAACAACAAGCTTACCCTAAACTATAAATGCTAAACCCAAAACATACTTGAATTTTAAAAAATATTTAAATTGATTAGCATAATTTTTACCACAACATATTTTATTTTTGTAACCCAAACAAAAAACACACTTTAATTTTTTATTCCGAAAAGATACTTATGTCAATTAAGTCCCGATCAACATGTTTCATTTTGGTTCAGTATACATTAAAGAAATCGTTAAATTAACATTAATGTTTGTTCCTATTGTTCCAAAATCGCTAATTGAAAATAATGTTTGTTGATACTTCCCATTACGTTAAGTCTTATTTTTAATATGACATGCTTCTTACAACAAAATAATCGTTTGATTGAAAGTAATTATTGTCCGCCGAATAGAAACTAATTGCCGAATCATACATGTTTTCGAATAGAATAATTTCCGAAATAAATTATTTGTACCCGTCGCTTGGCGCGGGTAAACGGCTAGTGTGTGTGTGTGTATATATATATATATATATATATATATATATATATATATATATATATATATGTATGTATATATATCGATGATTAGATCAACTTGAAGAATTTTGGACAAAAAACTTGCGAAAATTAACCTTCTATGACTTTTGGAAGGAAGAGAAGATTGAAGATCGAGAGATTAGAAGATTGTAGCAAGAGTTCACATCATTCATTCGGTTTACTTGGATTTGATCATGTCTAGCTTAAATTTGTATGTGTTTATATGTTTCTTTTCTGCAATTATGATATAAATCATTAGGATTTCGTTTAGTAATGATGAACCCTAATACTATATGTTAGTTTATACTTTTTCATGGATTTATGAAGTTTGTTTAGCTTGTGTTTGATATATCAAAGCCTAGCATGTTATTAGTTTCAATCTTGTTGCCTATATTTCAAGTTATGTGTAGTTGATTGATCACTTTAATTGCATGGACTTGTTTACCTAGAAGTTTATGAATATTAAATTGCGAGAGCTAGTGATGGGCCAAATCCTAGATTAGGTAATAAAGATAGTAACTTTAACTGTGCTAGAGAACATAATTTAATCATAATTGTGTTTGGTTATTTGTCTTTATCATAGATAATTAATCTTAGATTTATCTTACATAGCCCAATAAAATTAAATAATCAATTTGGTGTGCACTTGTGTATGATCATTGCATAGTAGTCATTGAATTGGTGAAAACGTTAGGAGATCAGATCAAGACTTATAATAGCTTTTGATATTGCTAACCAACTGAATTAATCCATGTCTTAAAACTAACCGTAGGAAAAAGGGTGATTCAAAGTTAAACAAAAGTGTCGTCATTTTCTTGAATACAATCGTCTTTAATTAGTTGTTTGCTTAGTTAATCGAGAAGTTAAGTTAATATAAACTTGCAAAATCAGATAAAAATCCTCACTTTAGTTGTTTTTCTTAGGTAAATTTTTAGTAATTATTTTATTAGCTAAATTTTGTTCCATGTGTTTGATACCCGACTTACTTTACTATATTATAAAATGACTAGGTACACTGCCTATAAGTGTATTAGTAGTTAAGTTTTGTTAAGTTATAAATTTAAAACTGGTAGGTATATTTGTGCACATCAAAGTTTTTGGCACCGTTGTCGGGAAACAGCTTATTTCAGTTGTTAATTTAACTGCTTTAGGTTAATCGATCATTTTTTGTGGTGTAAAAAACGCAAAAAGTTAATTTTCTGTATTAAATTAGTTTTTTTTTACGGTTCTCATGACATGAACAACTTGCTATCATGACATGAAACTGAATTTTTCCAATTTCTCGTTTATCTACTTTTTAGTTCGTTTTTATGGTTTTGTTTTGTTTCAGTGATATATAACCAGGGGATCTAATTTTCAAGATTGTTCCCCTACTTGACAATCCAGAATCCAGGTTCCACAAGAATAAGGATAAAAGGTCGACGAGTCGTAACAATTTTCAATCAGACAAGGGTTTCAAAAGCTTTGAGAAAACTCCCAAAAAGAAGGGCATTGGGTACAAGCCAAAAACTGAAACTTAGGACGATTGATGAGAAGAAATCAAAAGCGAGGTAGAAAATATAGTGGACATAACAAGGATGACGATGGATGAGTACAAAAAGAGGATGTGTGATGATAACAGGCCGGGTCTTGTTCCACCATAAATTCCGACTGCAACAAACTTTGAGCTCAAGAGACACATTCTCTTGATGCTCAAGGACATTCCATTTACTGTAAAGAACTATGAAGACACATTTAAACACATTGATGAGGTGTTGGACATTGCCAACTACTTCCTGATCCAAATGTCTCAAGAGATGCGATATTACTCAGGATGCTTCCGGTGACGTTTACAAAAGAAGCAAAAATTTGGTTGAAGTCACTTACACATGGAACAATCACAACCTGGACCAACCTTCATGAAGCATTCATTGAACAATTCATCCATCCTTCAAAGATAGCCAAACTCAAGAAGAAGATAGCAAATTTCCAACAAAACAATGGTGACTCTTTGTATGAAGCTTGGGAGAGATAAAAGGAATGCTAAGGAATTGTCCTCAACACAATCTCAATATGCAACAAGAATAGTGGATATTCTATAATGAGATAAACATAACCGCAAGGTAACTCCTTAATTTTCAAGGACCAATGACGAAGAAGGATCCGACTACAATAAAGATGTTAATTGAAGAATTTGCAAAGCATTCGTGAGAATAGCACAACTCTCGTGAAGATATCACTAGAGGAAAAAT